CTCACTGTCTTGGCCTTTGCCTTTGGATGCTGCAGCCTGGCCTGGCCTGATTTGGCCAGCCCCCAGTCCCAACTCTTGCTGGCAGGTGTTACAGCCTCGCCCTGCCAGGTCTGCTCCCATCCCTGGTTCATGCAAACTAGTAGGTGTGACAGCCTAGCCCAACATGACCTGCACTCCAACCTGGTTTCTGTACATGCTAGTGTGGTGCTAAGGTTTTCTTGGCCCTGCCCAATCTGCTCCCTTCTAAAACCAACCCACACATTAACCAACACTTGGAGCTACCCTGTCCAGCCTGCCTGACCCCAGGCCTGGACCATGTGCTCATCAGATGGAGCCAATGACCCACTATGGGAGTTCCCCAAGTTCCCCCACTTAGCCCACTCCCAGACCCAGATCTTATGCATGCTAGTGCATGCTAGGTCCTTGCTCAGCACAGCCTGCTTCTCCATTTTGGCCTATGAGCTGATGAATGTTACGGCCTTGTCCCCCGACACCGTTTTAGGATGTGCATACGGTGCTGCAGCCTGGACCTGCCCAGACTATTTTGGTCTCTGTAATCATGAGTGTTACCAAGTTCCATGGTCACACCTAGCTCAGCCCATCACCTCAGCTCTTGAGCTAACCAGCAGGACTTGCATTTCCACAGGGTTTGGTCCACAAATCCTTCCCAGAATCTACCCCCAGACCTTGTTCTCTCACGTGTTGTTTAATGTCATGTCCTTGCCTTATGTGACCCATCCTCTGTTCCTGCACTCAGTCAGGTACTAGGATCCAGTCCTGCTAGACAGGCCCCAGCCATTGGTTTCACGTGGACTGGTGTGTGGGGGTCAGTAATGTTCCATGCTAACATGCTCAACTCTGGATTCCCATGTGGGCTGGTGTATCAGTCTGACTATTAAAGATCTTCAGGTCTCTCCCCTTCAGACCACCAGGTCAACGTTCCTTAACTTACCTGCAAGTATAGTGGCCCTATTGTTGAGTGTCCCTCGGGATTCATTCCTCACCTACATGTACTGTGGCTTTATTCATGGATGTCCCTATGCAGCAATTTCAGACCCTCAACACCCCAGAGCTCTCCAGCGGGCAGCCAGCAGATAAAGCCTGGCTTCATTGTCATTCTTCCACCCACAAGCCCAGGATTCACCCACTGCTTGGCAGCGGTGGACAGGTAGCTAGGGTCCCTAGCAGGAAGCCTGGCCTGGCATGAGGTCTCCCAGCCATAGCCATGTGGCTGAGAGATTCAGACACCTGCACCTCTGAGCAGACTTACCTGGACTTCCCCTTTCCGTGTTCTTATATTTCAAGTGTGTCTCTTGTAAATGCTATGTGTTCTTTTTTTTTTTTTTTCGTTTTTATTTGAAAGTCAGATATTGAGAGAGGAGAGACAGATCGTTCCTCCTGTGGTTCACCTCCCCAAGTGCCCACCACCGCCAGAGCTGATCTGATCTGAAGCCAGGAGCCAGGAGCCAGGAGCTTCTTCCAGGTCTCCCACACAGGTGCAGGGCCCCAAGGCTTTGGGCCGTCCTCTGCTGCTTTCCCAGGCCACAAGCAGGATGGGAAGTGGAGCAGCCACAACATGAACTGGTGCTAGGCCCTACTTCTTTAAAATCCAAGGTCACATTCCCATTTGGACTGTACAGTACATTTACATTAATCAGTAATAATGTTGGGATTACAGCTGACTGTTCACTACCCTCCCCACTTGTCACCATCTGGGGAAAATTTTTTAAAATAAATTTATACGATTGAGCATCCATCAGCACAACTCATCCTGGATGCCAAGATGAGTTGAATTTTAATTCAAACGCAAGGAAAAGAAAGGTCCACATTGTTAACTACCAATCAGTAGTCAATACATTGATGATTTGAAATTTTGGCAATGTAAAGCTCTCCCTTGAAATTCGAGATATAATCTATACATCTTGAAGCTCATACTTTTTGAGCTTACAGTCAAGGTTTATAGGATGCTCACAAAGCTGTGCAACCACTAATTCCAGAACATTCTACCTCCTTAACCATAAGCAATCACTCCCGTCCCGCTTCCCTGACCTCTGGCAAGCATGACCCCACCTGTTCTGCAATTGCACACGTGGCCTTCTGTGTCTGGTTTCTCTCACTAAACATGATCTCAAAAAGGGCTCTCCCTTTAACTCAGTTTCTCCCTCCATCCAGTGGGTGTGTTTCCATTTAGGGAGATGCTGGGAATAACACTGCTGTGAGCATCCACGTATAGTTCTGCTTAAGACATGCCAGATTGGGGCCTGGCACAATGGCTCAGTGGCTAAATCCTCACCTTGTAAGTATCGGGATCCCATATGGATGCAGGTTCATGTTCCGGCTGATCCACTTCCCATCCAGCTCCCTGCTTGCGGCCTGGGAAGCAGTCAAGGACGTTTAAGCCTTGGGAGCCTGCACCCATGTGAGAGACCCGGAAGAAATTCCTGCCTTCAGACTGGCTCAGCTCTGGTAATTGGGGCCACTTGGGAAGTGAACCAGCAAGGAACGTTCTCTCTCCTCCGTGTAAATGTGCCTTTCTAATAAAAATAAATCTTTAAAGACAGAAAAAGAAGAAACACACACCAGACTGCTATCCCTAGTGGCCGTCCCATCCTATCCTGCCTCATCATCTATGCTCCCTCGTCATCTTCCTTCTTGACGAAGGGCATCCCAGGGGGTGAGGAACACTCATCTGCGTATCCTAAATGATCATTAATGTGGGACTTCATTGTCCATGCTTACCTTGTTTGGAAAAATGTTGACTCAAGAGTCTATGCCCTTTTTAAAAGTGAGCTCCGTGGGCGGGGCACGATAGCCTAGTGCTGACCTTGCATGCACTGGGATACCATATGGATGACAGTTCATGTCCCAACTGCTCCACTTCCCATCCAGCTCCCTGCTGGGGGCCTGGGAAAGTGGCAGATGATAGTCCAAAGCCTTGGGACCTTGCAGCTGCGTCAGAGACCCAGAGAAGGTTCCTGGATCCTGGTTTCATAATGACTCAGCTCCACCATTGTGGCCACTTAGAGTGAATCAGTAGATAGATCTTTCTCTCTGTATCTCCCTTGCTGTATATCTGACTTTCCAATAAAAATAAATCTTGAAAATAAAGTGAGCTTTTTATTGAGCTGTAGAAATGACATCTGTGTACCACATTTGAATCTATAAGCCACTTTTAGAACAATCCCTTCACCCCTTCAAAACCTTGTACCTGCCAGCCCTCATTTCCCACTTTCACCGTCCAGGATCAGGCAATCCCCTCCGAAGCTTACTTCATGTTTCAAGCAGATCCTTCCCTCCATATACAGTGACATCTGCCTTTCAGCAGCCCTAGGATGCAGTGTTCAGATGTCCCAGGTGAAAACAGTGAATCAGGCCTTGCGAGCGTTTTGGATTTCCAGGGTAACCAAGCGCCTTAGTTCCCCTGTACAAGCCAGACCCAACCTTCAGTTCCAGGCCCACAACCACGGGCTGCCACGAGAAAGCAGCCAGACCAGCGTTCATCTCAGTACGTACCTTTCAGATCCCAATGCATTCCGTCTCTTTCTCACACAGCACTGTTTAAAATAGTACTTAGCACTTGAATCCATTTTTCTTTCCTGAGTTTTGCAGCAGGGACATTTTGTTCTGTGGCCTGTTATTCTACCCACCAGTCAGTGTTAAGTCTTCGTGTCTTGTCAGCTAAGTTCCTCTTTGTCACTCCTAGACACATATTAACAATTTAGGGGTCTCTTACATGTACCTTTTCTGAACGCCATTTGTCTAGCTATCCTGAGGGATTTTGACATGCTGAATTTATAATTACTCGAGACAGAACTGAAACTCTTATGCTCTTGTGTTCTCCAACCATGAACACGGTATGCTTACCCACTGAAGACATTTCTATCAGGCCTTACAATGGTATCTTGTAGTTTTTTTCCATTAAAGAACTATATATTCTTTATGAAATCTGCCCCTACTTTTCACTTGAAGATTTGACGTTATAGAGTTGTCTTCTAAAGCAGTTTAAATCTTCAGAATAAAACCGTTTGGGGCCTGGCATGATAGCCTAGTGGCTATCTGCAAATCTGGTTTTTTTCTTAAAGGTTTTTCATTTTCATTGGAATGGCAGATATACAGACAAGAAAAAAGGCAAAGAAAAAGATCTTTCATCTGCTGCTCACTTCCCAAGTGACTACCACAGCTGGAGCCAAGCTGATCCAAAAGCCAGGAGCTCCTTCCAGTCTCGCAGGCAGGTACAGGGTCCCAAGGCTTTGGGCTATCCTTGATTGCTTTCCCAGGACACAGGCAGGGAACTGGATGGGAAACGGAGCAGCTGGGACACGAACTGGCACCCATATGGAATCCCAGCACATACAAGGCAGGACACTTTAGCCACAAGGCTATGACGCTGGGCCCAAATCCGCTTTTCAATAAAAACAAAAACAAAAATAAGATAAAACCTTCTGAAAAGGCATACACTGGCAGTTTCCCACCTGTTTTTCTCCAAAAGGCACCAAATCAACTTGTCTCCTAGCTTTCAGTGCACTTAATATTAGTATACAGTAATTGACTCTGGTGCCTTGACCTTGTAGCTGTAAAGCCAGCCCAATTCTCTCAGGTCTGATCATTTTGGATCTTATGCACGCACACAGACACGCACACCTGGCAACGAGTAGTCCCTGTGTCACTTCTTTTCCACTCCTCACGGTCTTAGCCGCTGTGGGAGGGCAAGCTTGCCTAGGCCCGCTCCTCCTGACAGGACTTTCTTCGTGCAGTCGGCTCTGGGCAGAAGTCTTCGCAGGGCTTTTGGAGTGTTAACCTCTGGTCCTGTTTTGCTAAGAATGAGCACCACGAGTTTTTAACCAAATTATTTTCTGCACAGTTTGTCACGATCACACAGTCTTCCCGTAGTCTGTTAAATGTGCTGACTCACTCATGCATCGGGGAAAAAACAGTCTCAAATCAAACTTTTACCTCAAGTTGTTATTTATTTTCATTAAGGGGGAAACAGGACCCTTTAAGATAGTGAAAATATACTTTATTTAATACAGTAGCTGCCAGCAATATACTGGTTTTGATATTCCAAAGAGAGAGAGAGAAAAGAAACAACATTCCAGAAATTCTAAACAAAATACTCCAATTCTGTTCTATGTTACAGCTTGGGGAGTGGAAACTTCCTCCCGTGTTAAAAATAAAAACATGAGTGGCTCCTGCCTGGTTAATTTGTAGAGAATGTAATTCGAATGCTTTCCCCTTTTTGAATTCAGTACTGATTATAACCAGTGTAAGAAATTGGTGAATTAACAAACTTGATGAAATGCATATCAAAATGTTTATGAAAAAATAACTTGCATTCCTCTCAGTTTCACTTTGTAAGTATTTTCTAAATGAACATTTTTAATGCATAGAAATAAAAGCTGTCTACATACAACTCTGTAGAGGCTCGGAAGTTAACACAAGTAAAAACCACCTAGGTCGGTCCACTCAGCCCAGGCAAAAATGTCATCAACCGCTTAACTGTATACAGATTGTTCAAGGGTTTCAAGACAAGTCATGAAAGCTAAAGTTGGCAAGAAATACAATCCTTATGCTGGATCAGCTGCTGAACACAAAACTGCCTCGGCACCCCTGGGGAACAGTGAGCCGCCCCCCCGGACTGTGTGTGTGTGCACTGCAGTGTAGGCCAAGCAGGGAGCATATGAGGGGTCCCCATCAGTCAGAGAAACCAAACCCAGCTCCATTTCCACACTGTCAACCCCATACCCTGTAGGACTGCCATGGAAATGGCTACGTCCCAAACCTCTGAAGATTTTAAGCCATGGCCTTTCTAGAAGCATGAGCTGCAGCATCAGCCTTTTTATGGGCTTTGTCTGTTTACCAATCGCCATCCGACTTCCTTGATTAAGTCACAAAACCTTGTCTCTGTGACAGAAAAATAAGCCTGTTTTCATCAAAATCTCAGGATCTGCCTTCCCGAGACACCAGAGGGACAGCCACATGTAATCACTGGGCAATAAAAACGAGGACAAGAACCATCTGGAGAGGAACTGCCTCCTGGCCTGGTGCTGCTCACCCTTGTCCTGGGGGGGGGGGGGGGACACGGCCCTGACTTGGCACCGGTGCCCCCCCCCCCGCCCCTCCTCTGATATTGTCACACTGGAAACCTCAAGACAGGGTTCAGCAGGCCTCCCTGACAGGGAGTGGACAGGACATCGCCACCAGGCTGGTGCATTGGGATGGCTCACAGACAACAGCGCTTCTGCCAAGAGCTGGACTGTGCTTGCTAACAAAACGGGGGCTCAGGTTCGGGGTCCGGAGCACAGAGCACTCAGACAGGCAAGGACTCCCTGTCCTAAGCCCATCACAGTTGGCAGGACACACAGCAGGCTTGCAGAAGCCAGGCTGGGCCTGCCAGGCAGCGCTGCCACAGCCAGGAGGGATGCTGCCCTGTTACAGCATTCACATTTCCAAGGGAAAACCCGAGGAGGAAAGAACACTTCTAGAACAAGTGATATGCAAATTGCCCAAAGTGTTTGCAGTCGTGACCACAGTCTTAAGAGTAGCCCATAGCCCATTTTGTTAAAAAAAAATAATAATAATACATAGTACATAGTAACCTTTATTTTCATCAAATTCAATAGTTCCATTTCCCTTGTTAGAGCAAAAATAATTCATGGCTTAGGACTTCAATTAAAAAAAAAGAAAAGAAAAAACCCACACTCAATGTTATCCCTCCCTGTGGCTGTAAAAAAAATTTAGCTCAAGAAAGTGTACTGATTCAGAATAGGCAAAAGTGCAGCAAAATACACTGTGGCAACTCCAGTTGAGTCCGGCGGTGTGGCCATGCCTCCACGCAGGCCTGACAGTGGCGGAGACGGGCGGGAACGGCCATCACGCGCACTGACCTCCCGCTTCGGGGAGCACAGACTCCACGCCTTCTCGCTTACCAATGTTAAATACACTTTAGGAGCAAAATTCACTTAATGTTTTGCCAAGCCCACCTTAAACTTCATTTCTTTGAGTGTGAAGTTTTTCCTAATCATTTGCTAAACCAACTAAGCATTAGTTTGTGTGGTGTAGTCTTAAAGATCTACAGAAGGGGTCCGGTGCCACCTCAGCAGTGCGTTTGACACCAAGGAGAGTGCGCCAGGGCGCTGACCCAGAGCGGGCAGAGTGGTGTGGGGCAGAGGGCAGCGCATCTCCACCCCGGCCCGGGGGCTCCGCAGCGCCTCTCTAACCACAGCGCCAGCTTGGACCTGAAAGCTTCACCCTTCTCTCTCACCTGAGCCTCCTTCTTGTGACAGGATGAAAGCTACTGTGAAGGATGGCTGCTCTTCGCCAGCTTGAGAGAGAGAGAGAGAGAGAGAGAGAGAAACTACAGAGCAGAGCGGCCCAGTGTTCGGCACCTCTCCAGAAAAACGCTCCATGTGGTGGCCATCTGGTGGATTTCCAGTAGTAGGCAGATTAAACCAAAATCAGACCATCTCTGCTACAGTGGCAATCCTTTACTCTTACTAAATATCCTGAAATTCCCTCCCCAATACATAAATATTCCTTGTACCATGAATTATGCACCAGTTTGGGGCTGAGTGATGTTGTGGAATAGTTCGGGGAAACTGCAGTTCAGCAGTCCTGCCAGCTGCCCACGATGATGGTCCGGAGAGGGAGTGATCTCCCCGCCAGAGACGGCCCGCGGTGGAGCATCTCCAGGACCCAGGGACGGGGCAAGGGAGGTTCCAATAACACTGCTCAGGAGTGTATGTTTTACGGTAATGACTACACCTGGTCTAGCCTTGATCCTAAGCTCGAGTAACTGCAATGCTCATGCAACATACATTGTCTACTCTAGGGAAGAGGAGCCGTCTGTTAGAGAAGCATGTTCGTCAGGGGAGATCGGCAAGGCATCTCTTTCACAAGCGCTGGCTTACTTGGTCAGTCTTTTGGCTACGTCACTGTACGCTATCTCTACTTCCTTGTCACTGGGGCAGGTGTTGGTGAACTCGTCCCTGCTGTAAGCGTTGGTCAGGTATCTCCAGATGCCCGTCATTCCTTTGGGGATGTCAAAGTTGCGGTATTTTTTGGCCACCACCTGCAAGGCCAAAGACGACCAATGTTAACAGGTTTCCATTTCCAGGTCTGGCAAACTTGGATGCATCACCGACTACAAACACAGATGATCGATTCCTGTACTCTCTGGCGACTGCTTCCGTTTGAAAAGAGGTCTGTCACCATCATGCTAGCGGGAGTGTTAAGCAACAATCAGAGCTTCAGGCGTGTGGTGGTCACAGCCTTGGACAACTCAAGTGTCATTACTGGATAAGCAAACATGCTGCTTTAGGCCTCTGGTTCTCCTTCTTGCATCATTATTGCACAACTAGTTCTGTTCCAGTTAGCCAAGTGCCTGGCTCATGAGCTCACAAGAAAGGCCCAAGATTTTACCTTGAGGAGAAGTGAAGTGATCACAGGACAGACTGTGACACCACGTGAGTTATCAGGGTAACCCCAACTTAGTCACCTATGACACTGTTGCAATTTCTATGTGGTCACACACACACACACACAAACATTTCTGTTCCTCATATTGCCTCCATTCTCAGACATAACTTTCCATAGCATTAACCCTCGTAGATTCCCAGTGTCACCCAGACAGCTACACCAATTTGGAGGCTCCTGGCAAGCTCACAGGAAGCAGACAGAGACCTGGAGGTAAGGGCGACACGACACTCCCCCGCACACCCACCTTGACAATGTGCAGCTTGGGCAGCAGGTTGCAATCGGCTAACGTCATCTCGTTGCCATCAAGAAACTTTCGTGTAGAGAATTTAATGTCCTCCATACTATTCTCATCAATCTCATCAGGGAGAGGAGAATTCAGATATTCGTCCAGTTTCTGCAATGTCTTCAAGAGACCCCTCTCCAGCGCTGGGGAAAAAAGAGCGGCTATTGTAAGAAGGAAGAACAGCCCACCCGCGAAGCAGAGGCGTCAGGCTCTCAGCCAGTGCCTCCCGAGGGCCTGCCAGACAGGAGGCGCTTACAACCGAAAGCCACCGGGCAGGTGCCAGCTCGCCCGGAGCCGGCTTTCACGGGGCGGGAGATGAGACGGACATGCAAGTAGCCAGTGGTGAGAAGACCCATTCCCCCACGCTGTCCAGTAACTCTTTCAAATAAATAAACCCTTAAGGGAATAATAATAATAATAATAATAATAATAATAATAAAAGATACCTTCCCCTACAGTTCTGGCCCTTTTACTCTCCTCATTGTTCTGCCTCCGACCCCAGCACACTACATGGAAGTGTGCACGGCGGGCACCATTACAGCTTCCTGTCCCAAGGGAAAGGTGCCACTTCTCCATTAAGTATGACACTTGCTGCAGGCTTTTGTCAATATTCTTTATCAGATTAAGGAAGTTCCCAGCAATGCCTCACTTTTCAAGACTTTCTAAAAATAACAAACATTTTGACCGTAAGTACTAAATGTTCTCAATTTTTTTCTGCTTCTATTGAGACAATAACTTTTCTCCTTTATTAAGGTGAATGGTAAATATCGGTGAGCAATATCCAACTTGGTTGTGTTCACCTTTTCCCATGATTTTGGGTTAGGTGCACATCTTGCCTTTTGCCTTAGTTTTCAAAAGGTAGACTGCGCTGGAATTGTCCTTCCAGTTGATTTCCTTATGTTTTGATACTAACGATGGCCTCAAAAAGCAGGTGGGGGCCCGGTGCAACAGTCTAGTGGTTAAAGTCCTTGCCTTGAACGTTCCAGGATCCCATATGGGCGCCAGTTCTAATCCTGGCAGCCCCACTTCCCATCCAGCTCCCTGCTTGTGTCCTGGGAAAGCAGTCGAGGACGGCCCAAAGCAGATAAAAGCTCTCTCTCTGTGTCTCTACTTCTCTCTTTCAGATAAAAAAAAAAATAAATCTTCAGAAGAAAAAAGGCACTGTTCAATAAACACAAAGAAATGTGTAACTACAAGGACACTGTCAGATCGACCACTAGTCGGCAGTAGAAGCCCACAGCAGTAGCCTACTTCTTAGTAATTACCAGTACGGTAGCAACACTGGGATCTCCAAGAAGCTTTTTCAAAAGCTCTAATAAGTACAACAGAGGCCGCCCAGTCAGACTAAAAGTTACAAAAAACAAAGCCTCGTCACAGTGAGAACACAGAAAAAAATCTTTAAATTCACACACACCTGCGTCAGAAGGGTCAATAAGAATACAAACTAGCATATCTCAGAGAACAATTTGGGGAAAGAGGAGATTTTAAAATTCAGCAACCTTCTGACCTATCTGGAATCCAACTCAAGGGCATTCATCTGGCATCGCTGTTTTGTTACCATTTGGGAAAAAAAAAAAAAAAAACAAACACTCCCACAACCGATGTCTATCCCATCAGGGAAATAGTTAAATCCTCATCATGGAATATTAAGTAGCATTTCAAAAATCAAAGTACAGTTCTATTCCTTTAGCATGTGAAAAGACACGAACAGGTAAAACACCTGCAAAGGCACATGGATGAGGCGAGAACTGGACTGCTGGGGAAGGCCACGTCACGTGAGGAAGAAGCACTGAGACTCTGCGCTGTTTTACACTCAGCTCTTCAGAGAGAATGCCTTGCTCTATTACTTGTACGTTCGCAATGAGTAAAATTCAAAACAGAAAATACTGAAAGTAACATAGATGTTTCTGTTTGAAAAACAATACAATTCACAATGAAGTTTGGGCCTTTACGTTGCTTTAATAAAGATAAGTAAGACCCAGACCACGTTTAAAGGCTGGGCCACACATGCATGGAAAGGATGGTTAGATACACGAAGCAGCTCCTCACCCTCCTCCAAGTCCCAACACTTCCCGGGAGAAAGGCAGAGAGCAACCAGACGGCAAGGCAGAGGGGGCCTCGCAGAGGAAGGGGCATCTTGCACAAAAAGGAACACATCAGAACTTCTAGATTCCTTGCCTCCATTCAGACTGGAATGTGGACATTGGGAAATTCGCCTGGGACATACTGTGTGTTCCATCACCAGCAGTCGCTTCCCTCTGAAATTTACCATAAATACCAACATGGTGCCTGAGCTTTCGTAAATGCTAACTAACTAAACCTGCAGAGCACACCGGGACGCGAGGCAGGGCAGATGTGAGCCGGCCCCATCCAAGCGTCCCTGCTGCTCTCCTTTCTGATGCTTACACGCGTCTACAAATGTCACACACATGCTCACCAAGAAAAACCAGTCTGTCTCTCCCTTCCCCTCTTCCAGTGTTTCCTTTTATTTTCTTTAAATCTTATTTGTTCACTCTGTACCCCAATCTAAGCACTAGCCCAAAACCAGCCTCTAGGCATTTAACTCCTTAATGGAGTTCAATCCTGAAGGATCTTAAAACTGCAAATAGATTGGCTTTTGTAATACACTTAACAGGCTGGTGAAACTAATCAAAAGATTCATTGGCTCCGATTAACCACATAAAATGACAAACGCACTGAGGTGTGCCTGTCAGCATTTGGGTAGGGTTGGGAGGAAGGCATTCATCACACTAAACCTGGCCGATCTGCCACAGGGCAGGGTCGGAGAGCCCCAGGACTCCAGCGCCAACTGGAATCATGTTTCCTAAAGGCTAGCACCAGCGACAGGTCCCTGTGGAGGGAAGTTGCTTGGCAACTGCAAGTCTTATTTATCAATAGGTAACTGAATAGAAAGCCCCCCAAGTTAAGCGCAGTGTGCTCCAGGCTGCTGTTTGTTCTCACTGTTGAGGACAGTAAGTGTGGGCGGCCACTTAAGAAAGTAACAAGCCCATCAGAAAAAATAGAACACATAGTTACACTTAAGTGAGTCACTTTCTCCCTCTCTGCACCCCACCCTTGTCCCCCAAAGCTGAAACAAGTGCATTCTGTTCCCTTCCCCACTACACTCCACCCCCAAAAAGCCACTCGGAGAGAAAAAAAAAAAACAAACTTTAACTCGCAGACAGGTCAAAGACCCACGTAGCAAGAGCATCTGTGTCTAAAAGGACAGAATAGAAAGACACCGTTTGTGGAGAAGAGGGCTTGCAGTGTAACCACCTACTTAGCATAGAAATCGCCGAGACAGAACATCTGTCAGGAAAAAGGTCAATTACTAAAGAAAATCACTTCCGAACCCTGGCAGCTACCGAAGCACATTAGGAGCGGACATAAGCCAGGCCCCAGCACTAAAATTTTCCCTCTTTCCCTTCCACGGTAGAAAAAACATTTCATGCAGCGAATATTATTCCAGAAACCAAGAGCAAAGAAAATATTGAGTTTCAAAGCTAAATTAAAAACTGCTGCAATTTAATAGTAATAAAAAAGCTTGAATCGCTTGGAAATGTGCCTCCCAAAATCACATAAGGCAATCAGCAAGTGCTTGGTGTGATTCTTTACTGTTTTTTAATCAATACTTCTTCCCTTTGGTTTTCAGCATCATCCACTGGCATGTAAACCTGGACCCAAAGAACCCCGCCCAGTCACCCACACTGTCTGAACTCCCACGAACTCAAGGATTCCGAGCTGGGTTAGGGGGTCTAGTCCACCATTGTTACTCTTAAACAAAGGATTATATGCAGTGTTCCCCAGACCAAAATCACGCTTGCTATCCCCAAGAGAAGAAAAATGAAATGACTGAATGGTACGGGTTACACAAGGTTCACTAAATGGGGTTTTCACGGAAGAGACTTTCTGCCAAAGTGAAATAACAAAAAGTGTCCCTTAGTCAAAACAAAAATAACCTGCAAATGCACTACTTAAGCCATCTTCTCTATGCAAATCTGACTTCAAACTAAAATTCTAGCTTTTTGGACACAAATGTGGAAGGCTAACCAGCACGTTCATCGTCACTCTCGTAGCTTTTTATGGCCATTTGGTCCCATCCCCCGGGTCCTCCTCCCGCCGTGGTAATTTGATTTTTAATTTCTTACCTTCATTAGCCTCTGGCCTTGAATTCTTGATATATGCAGAGAACTTGGCAAAGATGTCCATTCCGGCAGTGTTGGACTCAGGGTGCTTTGGAGAAAGCTTTAAGTACCTGAACAGGAAAGGTGGTAACAGGTTAGGGATTCCTCAAGGATGTGCTCTTCACCCACAGCCCAGCGGCTGGCAGGGCCTCGCTGTCTTGGACCTTTTCACACTAGGAAATGCCGTCACTGGTCTCGGCTCTAGTTATCCAGTGTTTTTTCCTTCAGAAACAAAGCTCACAGTGTTTTTGTTCACACATTTGCGGCTTTGGGAACCAGGCAGCCGCACGCCACGTCCAGCTGACATTGGCATGCCGGAGGAAGAGCCACTTTGCTCAGGTTTGTGCCAGGCCAATGGGCATCTCACACAGCCATCTCTCAAGTAGTGCTGTTTGAGAGAACTTTATGCAGGGAAGGAAATGTTCTGTATCACCATGGTAACCATTAGTGCCATGAGGCTGAGGAAGACTTAATTAATCACAAAGGAAACAAATTAAATACTCCTTGAGCACTCCAGCGCTCAAGGACCACTGGACAGCACAGCTCTAGAGTCCTCTCAGAAGTGATGCCAGGGGGCAGTGCGGTGGCACAGCAGGGAAAGCCACTACCTGCAGCACCAGCATCCCACTACAAGCGCCAGTTCAAGTCTAGGCTGACCCACTTCCAATACAGCTGCCTGCTAATGCCCTGGGAAAAGCAGAAGATGGCTAAACACTCAGGCCCCTGCCACCCACATGGGAGACCTAGAAAAGGTTTTGGTCATTGGGACCATTTGGAGAGTGAACCAGCTGATGGAAGATTCCTGTCTCTTCCCCCCTCTCTGGAATTCTGCCTTTCAAATAAATAAATCCTTAAAAAACAAACAAACAACAAAAAAAGATAGAAAGGTCCATCAGGTCTTTATTATGCTATGAACCGAGGACTGAGCAGGTCCTGGGCAGCAGTGCTGGAAACTCTGGGAGCAAGAAGACAGCCGGCCAGGGGCTCTTGATTCTCCTCTGTCACTGAAGGACAAAAACACATCAATCATCGCAAATGAGCACCTAGAATTTTCCAAAAACCTCTCAAATATTATATATTCCACAGTATATTTATAAGGGTAACTCTGAGCAACAACAACAACAAAATTACATATCTGATACTATATGAGGGGCTGACACTGCAGCAAAGCATACTAAACCACTGCTCATGACTCCAGCATCCCCTATCAGATTGCTGGCTCAAGTCCTGGCCACTCCGCTTCTGATCCAGTTTTCTACTGACAAATCTGGGAAGGCAGCAAGAGGCAGCCCAAGTACCCGGGCCCCTGGCGCCCATGGCGGAGACCGAGATGAACCCCGTGCTCCTGGCTTCAGCCTGGCTCAGCTCTGGTTGTTTGACAACTTGGGGAGTGAGTGAGAGGATGAAGATTTTTCCCATCATTTTGCCTTTTTCAAATCAGCAAATCTTAAATGTATGTTATACTGAAGAGTTTACTGTGCTGTTACAAAGCTTTTCCAACTTTGAGGACCTGGCACAGCTTTTTTTGTTGGCTGTTTGTTTAATATTTACTTAGTTTGAAGGTAGGGCTACAGAGGCAGAGGGGGAGGTAGCGATGTCCCATCCTCTGGCTCACTCCCCCAACGGCCACAATGTCTGGAGCACGGGGAGTCCAAAGTTGGGAGCTTCTTCCTGGTCTCCCACATGGTGCAGAGACTCAAGTGCTTGGGCCATCCTCTGCTGCTTTTCCAGGTGCATCAGCAGGAAACTGAATCAGAAGTGGAGTAGGGGCCTGGCATGGTAACCTTGCTGCTAAAGCCCTTGCCTTGAACGTGCCGGGATCCCATAGGGGTGCTGGTCTAATCCTGGCATCCCTGCTTCCCATCCAGCTCCCTGCTTGTGGCCTGGAAAAGCAGTCAAGGACGGCACAAAGGCTTGGGACCCTGTGCCCATGTGGGAGACCCAGAAGAGGCTCCTGGCTCCTGGCTTCAGACTGATGCAGCTCCAGCCGTTGTGGCCACTTGGGGAATGAATCAAAGGACAGAAGATCTTCCTCTGTACATCTCACTTTCCAATAAAAAAAAAATCTCTAGAAAAAAAAAAGTGGAGCAGCTGGAACTTGAAACCATGATCACAAGCATTGCTGGTGCCAAAGGTAGTGGTTTTATCTTCCATGCCAAAGCACTGGTTCTGTGGCATGAGCTTTTTGACCTCACACACACACGCCCATCTTTTACTCTATTAGGTTTCACACACACAGACACACACACACACTGTGTATCTCCTTAATTGTGAAAATACATGTGAAAAGGCCTCCAGTGAGGCCTGCCTCTGCTCCAGGCAGTTGGAGCTAGGGACCTGCAGGTTCTCAGGGTCCTTGCAGGGTGCAGGAGTCAGCCTGTAGCTCCTGCAGAATGTCTGCGAAGGCATGTGGGAGGAGTTAAACTTCAGGGGGAAAAAAAAAAACCGCAATCAGCTAGCCGCTCCATGTGTTTGAAGGTAATGCCTTCTCAGTTTTAAAAGTCAGTTTTTAAAAGAAATGCAGCTCAGTTGCAAGCTGTGCCTCTGTTTAGTTTTCATATTCACCTGCTTTCTGTTTGCTATTTGGAACTTAGGAAGGAAATATTGTCTTCAAGTTGAGCATAGTACTATACCCATAAGGAAACACAATACCTACTCAACACCTATATACTCAAGCTATGCTTCTCTTGGTTTTTCGTTTATTATGTGAGAGGCAAAGAGACAGCAGAAAAGAAATGCATCCACTCACTCCCCAGATGCCCACCTCGGCTCCAGCTGAAGGCCCAGCTTGCAGCCAGACACTTCCCACGGGCAGCAGGAGCCCAATCACCAGAGCGAACACCTTCGGCAGGAAGACAGAGCCCGAAGGGACAGGCCTAAATCCAGGTATTGAAGAACAGGAACTGGTGACCGTAACCACTAGGCAAACACTCCCTCCAACCCATCCAACTTTTTAATAGGTCTACCTAGTGTCCAAATATCACTCAATTTCTAATCTTAAAAAACATTTTTTTAAAGCACAATGATTTGCTTAATCTTTTTCAATGAGCATCTACAGAATACCTCACCTGAATTTACAGACATAATATAACTTTTTCCCCTAACTACAAGACTTTTCTCTCTTCTTTTTTCTTCCTCCTGCCTGTGAAGTTAGCCAGTCCCAGGCCCACCAGCCCTGGATTCTCTGACCCAGGCCCCTTACTACCTGCCCGAACAGAAGATGGCGCAGGGATCACCAGGGACTTGCTCACACACTGATCTTTCTCTAGCCAACTCTCTCCATTTCTTCTTCCTTTCCCCACCAGTATTTAGCTATTCTACAGCTTTCCAAGGGAGTAAACTCAGAATTCTCAAAATAACAAGGGACAGGCTTGAATTACAGATCATTTATATATTCATTAATCATGCATACATTCACTTGTAATTATCAAGAACTAAGTGTTAGACAATGTAGTGAGACCTCATGATGAGCATACACCAACATAGGTAATTTTAAAATGCGTAAGAATTCCAACTAGAGGCCCAGCTTGGTAGCCTAGTGGCTAAAGTCCTCGCCTTGAATACACTGCCAGGATCCCATATGGACACTGGTTCTAATCCCAGCAGCCCCGCTTCTCTTCCAGCTCCCTGCTTGTGGCCTGGGAAAGCAGTCAAGGATGACCGAATGCCTTAGGACCCTGCATCTGGGTGGGGGACCTGGAAGAAGTTCCTGGCTCCTGGCTTCAGACTGGCTCAGCTCTGGCCATTGCGGTAGCTTGGGGAGTGAATCATTGGATGGAAGATCTTTCTCTCTGTCTCTTGTCCTGTATGTCTGACTTTGCAGAAAAACAAATTCCAACTAGAGAGCTACTGTGATGAACTAAGAATGACAGAGGACTCACAACCGGCATACACTAGTCACGCAAAAGTGGAAGCTACTACATTCTCTGAAGCAGGTTAAACATTCCTTGTTATCTCCCAAGACAATGATCCAATATCTACTACTCATTTAGTGCAAATACTACAGCTGTGAAAGACCATTCATGTCTTGTACCTCATTGTGCCTGAAAGGGAGCTATGCTCTACCAGCTTACTATTTGGCCCTAAAATCACCCAGCTAGTTCATAAAGCACCAACTAAAAAACTCAGACATCTTATCCTCAGGTACAAGAGTTTTTGGTTTAGTTTTATTATTTCAATTTCAGATCAGATTCTAAATAATAGTTTGATAGTTAAACCCAGAACTATTTGTCCAAACTCAGGAGTCATTTTCTCTACATGGCCAAACATTAAGATTTTAATCCATCCATTATTTTAGCAAATAGTTTAATCAAACAATGATATTTAAAAAATTCATTTTAACACATAGCAAAAACAAAGTACTTTTCATTTTTTGCTTTTTAACATTTATGTATCTGAAGGCAGGAGTTAAGTTAGAGAGAGAAAAAAAAGAGATTTCCATCACTGGTTCACTTCCCAAATGACCACAATGGCCGGTGCTGAGCCAGAATGAAGGCAGGAGCTTCGGTGCAGGGGACCAAGGACTTGAGCCATCTTCTGCTACCTTCCCAGGGAGCTAGATCAGGAGTGGAACAGCCAGGACTTGAATCTGTCAGCACTCATATGGGATGCCAGTATTACAGGAAGCAGCTTTACATGCTATGCCACCACACTGGCAAATAACTCTTAAAAGTCTGTGTGTGGGGCCCAGCGGCGTGGCCTAGAGGCTAAAGTCCTCGCCTTGAATGTGCCGGGATCCCATATGGGCACCGGTTCTAATCCTGGCTGCTCCACTTCCCATCCAGCTCCCTGCTTGTGGCCTAGGAAAGCAGTCAGGAACAGCCCAAAGCTTTGGGACCCTGAACTCACATGGGAGACCTGGAAGAGAGGTTCCTGGTTCCCGGCTTCGGATCGGTGCAGTACCAGCCGTTGCGGGTCACTTGGGGAGTGAATCATCAGACAGAAGATCTTCCTCTCTGTCTCTCCTCCTCCTCTCTGTATATCTGACTTTGTAATAAAAATAAATAAATCTTAAAAAAAAAAGTCTCTGTGTGAATGACAGAACTAATGGGAGCAGATTGAGCACTGGCTT